AAGTAGTCTATTTTCTCACCTCTTACCTCTTTATTAATTTCATATATATTCCTATGACAAGTCCGTGTGTCACAGATCAGATTGTTCGAAATGTGTTGCGCAAATAAATACATTGAAAGTTTAAGCCACCTTTATGCGCTCAAAAACAATTCGTCATCACATTAAACCTTCCTTGGTAAATTTTGTTTTGATACCATAGCACATGTACTATTACCTCTGTTATTTGCTTTAGTGGTCTTCATTGTTACTTTGACCTTGAATATGTCCTTTCAACTTGACCTAAGTAGTCTATTTTCTCACCTCTTACCTCTTTATTAATTTCATATATATTCCTATGACAAGTCCGTGTGTCACAGATCAGATTGTTCGAAATGTGTTGCGCAAATAAATACATTGAAAGTTTAAGCCACCTTTATGCGCTCAAAAACAATTCGTCATCACATTAAACCTTCCTTGGTAAATTTTGTTTTGATACCATAGCACATGTACTATTACCTCTGTTATTTGCTTTAGTGGTCTTCATTGTTACTTTGACCTTGAATATGTCCTTTCAACTTGACCTAAGTAGTCTATTTTCTCACCTCTTACCTCTTTATTAATTTCATATATATTCCTATGACAAGTCCGTGTGTCACAGATCAGATTGTTCGAAATGTGTTGCGCAAATAAATACATTGAAAGTTTAAGCCACCTTTATGCGCTCAAAAACAATTCGTCATCACATTAAACCTTCCTTGGTAAATTTTGTTTTGATACCATAGCACATGTACTATTACCTCTGTTATTTGCTTTAGTGGTCTTCATTGTTACTTTGACCTTGAATATGTCCTTTCAACTTGACCTAAGTAGTCTATTTTCTCACCTCTTACCTCTTTATTAATTTCATATATATTCCTATGACAAGTCCGTGTGTCACAGATCAGATTGTTCGAAATGTGTTGCGCAAATAAATACATTGAAAGTTTAAGCCACCTTTATGCGCTCAAAAACAATTCGTCATCACATTAAACCTTTCTTTTTAAATAAATCATAATTATGTTACATATATCTAAAACGGAGTGTAATATTGAATTACTTACTGCTACAGTTTCCGTGTTTTGCACATATGTTATATATATGTCCAAACCAGTTTCACTTCTAACGGTTTCGAAGAAAAATATTTGGGCATTGAGTATATGATATTCAATATAATAAAGAGTTTTTTATTTTCCAATGAATGAATGAAAAACAAAACGATATTGCTGCTCTAACTGATGTTTCGCTGTTTAATGCTGCTGCTAATAGCTACTTTATCAAGGTAGTAATATTAAACCAGAATTTACAAAGTCCACTCAGCTGATATTTAACAAATTAATAATCCTTCCTCAATATGGGATAACTTTTCCGCTCTCAAATTGGCCAATTGGTAAAGATAAGAAAACTAGGTGTAGATGACTGTTGGATTTGATAAGTGTGCAAAATTATAATTATATAAGCAGTGTGTGTTTACATAATGAACTTGCTTATCACATTCGTGTTGATTGTGTCACCTCATAGGGGAGGGTGGGGGTGTTGTAATCAGGTCAAATTCTGTTTTAGTCCATCATTCATATGATTTTAAATCCCGAACAGAACAACGAGAAATTGATAAAGAAGACATTATGGTAAGTTATGATATTAACTCATTATATACTAGTATTCCTATTCCTGAAATTCTTGATATCATTTTCAGTCTTCTAGAATCAGATACAATGATACCACCACTGGACACCAGAGAAATAATTAAGAGTTTGAAATTCTGTCTGGAAGGTAATTATTTTACATTTAAAGGGAATTTATATAGACAGACAAATGGTGTTGCTATGGGTTCACCAGTTTCCCTAATAGTCGCTGATCTTTTCATGAACAGATTCGAAAATAACATCTTTTCAAGCATACTCAATCTAAAAATATGGTTAAGATATGTATATGATACTTCTGTAGTGTTAAAACGAAATCTACACAGTTCATTCCTGGAGAAAATAAACAGTCTATCTCCTAGAATCCAGTTTACTTCGGAAGCAGAATCAGACGTCGGTGAACTACTATTTTTAGATTGCCTAGTTAAGAGGAGGGAAAACGGACATTTTAGTATATCTATATTGAGAAAGACAACTCACTCCAATAAATATTTAGACTTCGGATCATCACACCCCATCATTGCAAAGGTATCACTTGTTTCAAGTCTTCTTAGACGAGCACACTCTCTGATAACGAATGAGAAAGAAAAAGAAGAAGAAATATCAAATATTACTGAAACTCTCAAGTAAAACAACTACTCAACGAACTTCATCAACAAAATCAACACTGACATTAAGTATGGCCGAAAACGCATTCTGAAAACATTGACCTCGACAGTCGTCATTCCATATAGAGCGGAGACAAGAGGTGATATCAGAAGAGTATTCGATAAGCGCAACATCAGAGTTTTATTCAAAATATCAAACACACTGCGAAGCAACCTTGTCCATATAAAAGACCAAATCCCTGAGGATTCTCTATCTAATTGTGTCTACAAAATAAAATGCTTGGAATGTGATGCGATGTACATCGAACATCGCTAGAGAAAAATCAAAATCAGGAGAAATGAACACCGTAGACCATCTGTTCGACCACCGACAAATCCAGTTCAACTACAAAAGCTTCAAAAATCATCAGCCATAGCTCGTCTACTCGCTATAGAAACAGGTCACAGAGTTGATTTTGACAATATTGAAATAATCCAGAAGATGACTTCAGCAATCACAAAGAAAGTCCCACATCATCAGAAACACTTCATATCACGTAGAATCATAATTGTCCGAATAGGAATGATGGACTAAAACAGAATTTGACCTGGTTACAACACCCCCACCCTCCCCTATGAGGTGACACAATCAACACGAATGTGATAAGCAAGTTCATTATGTAAACACACACTGCTTATATAATTATAATTTTGCACACTTATCAAATCCAACAGTCATCTACACCTAGTTTTCTTATCTTTACCAATTGGCCAATTTGAGAGCGGAAAAGTTATCCCATATTGAGGAAGGATTATTAATTTGTTAAATATCAGCTGAGTGGACTTTGTAAATTCTGGTTTAATATTACTACCTTGATAAAGTAGCTATTAGCAGCAGCATTAAATAGTGAAACGTCAGTCCTAACATTAAATGCCCCTATATGAAATTGGTGACGTGGCTTTAGGAGACTAACGATGGTGGTTTTTTGGCTTCCGTCGTTTTCAGTGCACACAGAGTGAAGAGGAAGTGAAGAGCCATTAAGTAGAGGAGTTGCATTAGTAGAAGGAAGGCAAGATAATAGAGATGAAGTTGAAGACAAAGGTGAATGAGGATTAGAGAGGTTTCGTGTGCACTTCGGATTGTGAGGGCGATTGTTACTTCCCGGCTGCCCACACCGTGGAAGTTGGTTGCGTGACTGCAGAGCCTAGGGGGCAACTGCTTGAGGCCGGTCACACACGGCCTGTTTTTGTTTGTTGTTTTTCATTTGGTGTGTCTCAGTAGCGTATTTATCACTTCTGCCCTGTGACACGGCAGCAGAAAGCGCGGTCGTTGTTAATCCGGGCCCCGACCAATCCGGCATGATATTTTGTGATTTATTTGAAGACATAGGATTGGATTGGGTAACTGCTTTCAGTCTAACCGTTATCCAAACAACCTTTCTGGCATGGTAGGACCTGCAGGAACATAAGTTCCAGCCAGTACAGCTTGTTGGGTCATTGCGGTGTTCAAGCCTGACCACCACGTCAAGGTAGCAGCTTTCGGTCGGGTGAAACGTCAGTAAAAATAAGAATATCGCTTTGTTTTTCATTCATTCATTTATTCGGAAATACAAAAAAAAATTCATTAGAATGAAAATTATAATTATATTTGAATAATTTACACACAAAGATAAGTTTTGTTTTTTGGTAATATTTCGAGCAAATTTACTGCCCTTGATCACACCAACTGTTGGAAATGTTTTGCTTTTAACTCAAACTGGAAGTGGCTTGTTTAGTGGTGGCCAGCAGCAGTATCCGGGACGCGCGTTTCGTGTGGTTTACGAGATCGAACAGCTGGACCTACTTTTATATACACCTGTCAACTTATACTCTATCAAATACTTCGAAAGTCAAACTGATGGAATTCTTCTAACTTTTATGTGCTTTTCACCTTATATATATATATATATATATATATATATATATATATATCATCTTCAAGAATATAAAGCATCTATATGCCTACTTAATATATATTTTAGTAAGTCAGCTGGATTACTAAAAGATACATTCACGTAGATAATGCTCTATTGTGATTACTTTTGGAAGATGACATTGCAACTCCCCGATCATTGTCTCCAAAGGTCTCTTTGACTTCATGCACTCTGTCTGACGTCACCTTATACGGTGCACGCAGTGAACTGGAAAAATGTCTCAGTTCATTCTACTCTGACCCTCAATTTTATAGTTATCCAGAGACTTGGACGGTTCTAAGTGGCGCAGTTACATTGATCGATGAGAACTAATTACTACGACTCACAAGTGTTGTCTTCAACTGCCACACCTTATATTTGTGTATAGCACAACAGGCCAGAGTGCATTATATAGTATAAACGCTCTCTCCCTGATGGATGGTAATCAAATATCTCACCTTACGTCACAGATAACGCAAAGCAATACAGGTCGAAATAACCTTCCTACATCAGAGAACAGATGCTACGCAAGACATAAGACCAATTGACACATTATTTTCAAACCAGACACCGTCCAGCATTTAGCACATACGCAATATACGGGAAAGGTACTCAGATTTTTCTTCAATTACCAAGAGTTTGTTATTTCAAGCAAAAGTCATATATATATACATATATATATATATATATCCTATAAAGGCCTAATTTAATCACTCACTCATTGGTGTTGTGAAAGACCGCATATATGAATAAATTGTATTGGTCGAACTGAAAATCTTGCAGTCTATTTATAAATTTATTGCATAAAATACTCGACAAAACAAAAACACGTGTAAAATTCATGTGCAATTTAATAAATAAATAAATAATTAATTAATGAGTAACAAACTATTAATGAATGAACAATAGAAAAACAAAAATAAAATATGTTAAAATCTGATGGAGTTTATTAGTCTTGTTTGCGAACAATATTATATAATAATAATAGTAATAATCTTCAACTGGATGTGTAAATACATAAATAAATTTATGGAAATTAATTATGGGGAAATTTACCAACTTCTTTCATATTGATCGGCTTTACATTTAGCATAGATGGTCCTTCACAAAGCGATGCGACAGTGTTAACTAAATGCGTAAATTCATCTTTTAACTTTGTCAGTTTACTTTCTGATCGTTTCTCACAATACAGACGAGACAGCCAGTAACCTCGAAGATGAATAAATCGAACTGAAGGTAATTGAATGTGTAAAAAGTGCGAAAAACAGTCAACTAAATCACTGGAGGGAAATAGAACCCAACAGGGTTGAAAGCGAAACAATTTCGATTTAAGTTCATCACTCAGCATCACATAGTTAAGCAATGAGACAACAGTTTGCAATTCATTGTAAATGTGTTGTACAGCAAGTAAACTAGCTAAATTCTTCGCAGTTATTGTCTCCGGACTTCTTGACTGTTCTGTGGGTGGATTTCTTCCACGATAGTCGGCTACGTCTTTTCTGATAAGAACAACTAGTCGTTGGTAGTTTTCGAGTACCGTGTGCCTGGCGAATTCAAAATTGAATAAACTGACGATAGCACAGATTGCAATAGCTAAACCGATTGGCGAATTTTCGAAACTGTCTGCACAGCTTGGGTCATCAAGACAGTATTGTTTATACCAAAAGGCCAAAGTAAAGGCTAAACTGAAAGTCCAGACATTATCTGACATTTTCGGAGGAAACAAGATGTTAAGTTTATCGTTTAATATTTCATCCACTGAAATACTTCCACAAGGAGTTTTCATTAGTGGAGTAATATTAAGAGTGATTTCATTCATTGTTTCATCATACCATGCATAGTCGATTATACTTACATTCTCTTCCATATTATTACGACTTTTTAAACCCTGAAGAGTACAGTAGGTGATCCACCTTAAATTGACAGCATAAGCATGTACTGATGGAAATGACTTTTCAACGGATTGATTTGATTGACACAGGACATTAATAATGACTGGGGATAATTTCACTCTACGATATACTTCTATCCAATTAACTGGCCAATTCTCAGGGTAACTGAATTTACTCATCAGGTTAACATTGAATGATTTCGCCCATTGGTTCAATTGGTCCCATGATTCAGACATGTTTGGCGTTGTGTTAACAATTTCAGCTAGTGTACTCAAACACGCAGAAGAATTTGATTGCGTGAGATTCAAGTAAGATGCTATTAGATGTCCATTCTTTGGAAAATCACTCATATGAAAGGCAGTGCAATCCAGTAGGTAGGCATTAATAGCTGGTTGCTTTGTTATATCAAATAATTCAATGACATATTCATAGGTTGCAACAGAATTCATAGCGAATAAATTTGTAAGCCAGTCAACTAGAAGCTGCCATTCTTGCAGGCTGGCGTCAGCGTTAGTCACACTGGCATACTTTGTCTGATTACAATTAATTTGCTCACATATATGCGAGCGTATTTCTGAACTTTCAGAGTATAAAACACTTAACAACGGCCTCAAATAAGATGTCACTGATGAGAGATTAGCAGACTTTTGTTGGAAAGCATGACATAAGATAAGAGACTCATTTTCACAGATAGAAAAGTCAAGAAGGTGAATAGGCATGTAAGTTAATTCTTGAATAATATCTGCCTTCTGTGCATTAACTTGAACAGCCAACAAGTAGTATATATCATAATTGGATGCTATAAGCGGACAGTTTAAATACATTGATAAGACAGCAGCATCAAATTGACCCAGGAAAAACGATGTCATGTATGCCGTGTTGAAGTGGTTTAAAATATTCACAAAAGTTGGTTTGTAGCGATTGATCATAGATGAAATTTGATTACTACTATGCAACTGATACTGTTTTACAAAAAAAAAAAAATAAATCAAAAAATTACTGGATGAAATAAGCATAGAATAAAAATAAAGTACTGGTAAAATGTTTACTTTGGAACTCATATGGTATATATTCATAGTTAACGAACACCGACTTTCGACTGAAGACATTATTACTATTATTATTGTTATTATTATTGTACCCTTGGGTTCTGAGTGGAACATAGGCCTTTAACAACACATCTCCACTTTGTCTTATTCTCTGCAATCCTCTTTATCTGGCTCCACGATTGTCAACCTTGGTTCACGTCCAACTGATAGTTCTCCATCCAGGTTCTACTGGAGTAATGGCGTGCACTACGCGCGATATCAGTCGACAGTCTCCTCAGCGTGTGTCCGATGCATCTCCATTTCTTTCGGAATATTTGTTGAACAATAGGTACTTGACCAGTTAGTTCCCAGAGTTTCGTGTTGTTAATTCTTTCTGGTCGAACAATTATTCTTCAGTATGGAACTAACGAAGGCAACTCCGGATAAAACTATGCAGCAAGCTGTTGGAAATGCTTTCCGTGAGGCTAACTCCAAGTTTATAATCCACATTTGTGTTGAAAATCTGAAATTTGTTCTTTATAATGCGGAGTGCAGCAGATTTCCAAACTGATCTCAGAGTGAGAGAAGAACAGGCTTAACTTCAATAAAGCCTGACACAGTGACCACTTCCTTGTCGATCGTTCAACAAAAACACTCGTCAACTCAGAACACAAGCATACATCAGTCATTTTCAGGTTGTTGAACATCAATACAGGAAATGGAAAATAAAATATTACTGCATCCAGAAAACATGAGTTTTTTTTTGTTTTTTTATTCCTTCACGTTCCCTAGTGGGACATAGGGCTTCAAGCTAGAATCTTTACAGGATGAAGTTGCTAGCCTCATGCCCAACCTTTCCTCTTTACCAGCATTGTTTCTGGCTTAGCGAGGTAAAGGAGTGCGTCGGCCGGCGATCGAACCCCGGACCATGTGCATGGTCGGCGAGCGTCCTAACCGCTGTACCACCGACGCGATAACATGAGTACCATACAGAAAATGGTAACATTAGGAATCGCGAAGAATTTCAAAATCTTGACAATGAGGATGGAATAAGTCAGTGCTTGTGTAAAAAATGCATTAAAGTTTCAAGCTGTGCATGTTCAGCATGTCAAGGACACCAATTACGAAATTTTCAACAATTGTTGGGAGAACATTGGTTGGATTTTCTTGACTTTTGAACTGCTTTCCAATCGGAGAAATGAATTTAGGAATTACCTGTTTATCAATGTCTTTTGAAATATATCTGAAAGGTTCCTCAGATTGAATGACAATCACCTGCTACTATCTACCACTGTTCGGAACCAGTCTTGCATTCTTGGACGCTGTAAGCGTAATCTCCGAAAACGTGTAGCTGAAATCTATCCAGTCTGGTTAATGAAAGGCAAACGTAGAAGTGCGAATCCGTCTATTTGTGATCACCTGTTAGAGTCTGGTCATTCAGCTCCACGTGATTCATCCTTCAGGGTTATCTACATGGTGAAATCGAATCGCAAAGCCGAAGCCTTAGCTATACATGAACAGAAACCTAAATTATGTGTTCAAAAACGTTTTGTCAAACCCCTTTCTTCACCTTGGTCGTACTAATGTTCTTTCTAGTTTTCACTTTATTTATTTTTATTTAATTTCAGTCTTACTAATTGTATTATTTTGTCTCTTGCATTTTATTATTTCACATCTTCACTTATATTATTCTCTACCCCACCCTTTTGTAATCTCTACCCTCATTAACGATGTTACTAACTTGACCCACGTCCAATTTCTAGTCAACTATGTTACGTCATCCGATTAACTTACTTATTTTCAACTGTATTATTCTCTAACCCCACCCTTATTTGATTTTAAACACCACTCATTAACACTGTTGCCAACCTCACCTAATCTGAATTCTACTCACTTAGTCAATTCTATTTTATTTTCCATCTTAACGTTTGTTTCCAAGCCAAAAATTACTTATATTACATAATTATCTAAACTTTATAAATCTAATGTACACACACACAAACAAAATTGTATAAATATGCGATTGTACAGCTAAGTGAATGAATTCGCCGAAAAGAGTCTCTTCGCTGAACGCCTTCTTTTCTTTTATATGACTGAATGGGGATTTTCAAGTTATTTTATTTTATTTAACCACTTGGATTCTTCCCACTTCACTTCACATCTTCATTCTTATCGTAATCGTACTCCTAATTTTTTGAAATTTTTAGACAACACTTGACATTTTTAAAACATTTTTGATATGAATTCACTTATAAAACAATCTTTAATAATTTTGTAATTCATCCACTTCAACTCTACCCCTTATAACATTTTAATTATCGTTATTCTTATCACATATATGTATATTGACTGAGCAATTATTTAGTGCCACTTAATAACCTTTTCTGTAATATAAATACGACTGTACAGCTTGAAAATGAAGTCGTTGAAAAGAAATTTCTTCGCTGAACAAAAAAAACTGTGTTTTTACTTATTCTTAGAAACAACCAGAGGTAAACAAAGGTGAATGAACTTCTAAATGCCCTCAGACTGACAAACACAATGGTAACCTCTAGCAAGTTCCTGAAACATAACTACCACCTTAACGTGTTGGTCGGGGTTGCGTATCTCAATGACTCCCCACTATCTACACTGGTTGAAACGATTGTTCCTGAAGGTTTTACCATGCCAGAAAGGTGGTTTGGATAGCGGGTTAGACTAAAAGCAGTTTTCACGCTATATAATACTGATTCATAGAGTTACGAGAAAGTTGGATACCGTTCACATCAAGCTGTGGTGCTCGCTAACCATGTCGAAGTGATCTAAGTAGCGGATATATATGTCCAAACCAAGTTGACTTTTAACGGTTTGAAAAAATTTGGGCATTGGGTATATGATATTCATTATAATAAAGGTTTTTGTATTTCCCAATGAATGAAAAACAATATCGTTTTGTTTTTCATTCATTGGGAAATACAAAAACCTTTATTATAATAAGTAGCGGATAGTCGTTCCGCTCATTCGGAGCAAAGCTTACAAGTTGTGTACCAAGTATAACTCAGCACGGAGAACTCAGTCACAGTTAAAATCACTTGAATTCTGACCAGCTACTTCAGCTAAACGGTAATACGTTAAATCTAATTCGCAGTTTGCAGACTGATGTGCAATTAAAAATTCACACAGTTCGAGACAAAATTTCATTGACAGTTTCCTTGTCTAGACCACAATATGTGGAGTACTTGATATAGTAAATGGATATCAAGAAAGCAGGCATGAATACACCACGACAACTGTGCCTCGTTAGCACTAATTTCAAAAAAATAAGGAAGGGCATTTCATCATCACTTGCCGATCGCCTTCATCAAATCAACAATGGACTAAAAACGCAATAATCTGCCAGTAGAAGGCGATTGCTCCTCCTGGAATACTAGCGTAGACTTTCATCATGCTTCAGCCCGTACACGTGTATATGCCTACGGCTGAAGTGACCCAGGAAACAGTTGGCTGTGAAGCCGCTTTGCCCCCAAAGTAATGACAACGCGAAGTCTTTATTCAAGGAAGAAATAACCAGACACATCTGAGACTGACAACAAGACTCATCCTGAGGTAGAATGGCGCAATTTCTAGTCGGCTGTAAAGACAGTGGTAAGGACTATTGATAGTCCGAAATCAAAAGTTAGTAAATACCAATGGATTTCTGCTACCGCATCCCTACCTGGAAAATGTAAGAATACTGACCCTGTTTTTAGCTCCAAACATAACGGGAAGCGAAATCTGTTGAAATATAGGCTGACTAAGTCTCCGCAATGTGATCGTGAACAATATTGGGTGACAATAGCCGGAGGTGGGAATGGTATCAGCGGCAAGTGACGCCAGATAGCTATTTAGACTCATTAGGAAAACAGACTGTAAAAAATTAGTGATTTTCGAGAGGAACGGTACTCCAATTATCCCTCAGAATAGACGACTGGAACTTTAGACGGAAAACTTTGAGGAGCAGTTTAACTGACCTACAGCCACACTAAATTTGCCCTGCCTGTGTGTGGGGTGCAGACATCGGTCGTCCAACTATAAAGAAAGTTTCAAAAGTTGTGTATAATCTAAAACAGGGTAGAAGAGCTCAACCTGATTGGGTTACTCCAAAGGAGTAATGAGGTATGGTGCGTTTGGACCACTGATTGTCCGAGTTTACAAGCTGGGATACAAGTCTCCCTCTGATAAGCATAGCTCAACTAGTATGTCATCTAAAAATCTGGGTTAAATAATCATGCGTAGTCTTTGCTTGTTAGTTTAAGGCACGGAGGTGTAGACTGGCTGGCTGGTGTCCTCAAGATGCTGATAGCCAGTGGCATGGCTCAAGTAGTCTAATAATGATGTGAAGTCTAATCAATGTCAGGAATTATACTCATCTGAAGAAGACCTATGAAATAATATGGAACCACGTTACTGTGCTTCAATATTTGCTCTTGTTCTTTTGAAATAAAAAAAAAAATTGTGCCGATTATTTAGTATAGACAATCAATCAGAATATTAGGTTTGAATATCTTAAATCCCCACTTCATAATGTGGTGTACTCAAAATAGTTGAATAATACTTATGTCTTACTTGAGTATTATAAATGTAGCCACTGAAAATGAAAATTGGTTGAACTCCACACTTCTGTAACTGTTCCATCAGTTGGCAAGCTTTGATTGAAAAGTTGAAGCATTCATTGTGTTGATTATCTTGGTGGCCAATTACATCCTTTAGAATAAAATTGATAAAATCATCTCCATGTACAACAACAATGGTGTCTTTTAGAAATGACGCTTTATAGTTGGAATAGCTTTTCGATAAGAATGAGCCAAGACCATTAGGTACCAACATTACTGTTAACTGAAAACAAGAGTTTAGAATGAAAATGATACTGTGAATACAATTAGATAACTAATAATAATAATAATAATAATAATAATAATAATAATAATAATAATAATAATTAATAATAATAATTAATAATAATAATAAAATGACTTGTATAATTGTTATGAAAGATAGAAATTACGCCCTTGTCGATAGTTGCTACCTTGATGTGGCCGTCAGGCTTACAAATAGCAATGAGCCGCTGAGCTACACTGGCTAGAACTGATGTTCCTTGAGGTTCTAACATTCCGGAAAGGTCGTTAGAATAGCTATTAGAGTAAAAGCAGTTACCGGCATAGTGTAAGATGTTTACAATTTGCGGAGGGTTTGAGGGCAAAGTCTTACTGCTGGGGAACAGGAATGTAACAGCAGTAAGGCATTCCCCTCAGATGACCAGCATGCCAGCTATGTTACCTCTCCACTCTGGAGAGAAGGGTTAGAAAATGTCGACCCCAAAAATTATACATCCTGACTTACCTTACGGTGTTCCTAATACGGACACAACTAAAAAACAAAATTCAAACAGGCCGTATGTGACCAGCTTCAAGCAGTTGTTCCCTGGATTCTGAAGTCATGCAACACTAATCCTCTTTCCATTTAAGTTACTCCAAGGAAAAAACAACTTCCATGGTGTGGGCAGCCGGGAAGTAACAACCACCCACACACTTCCAGAAGCACACAAAGCTCTCCTTAGCATCAGCCACCTTTATCTTCGTCACCATCATCTTGCCTTCCACCTACCGTTAATAATAGCACTGGCACTCTGTGACCAATAATGGTGGCAAGAGCCGGAAAAACACTACGGATATTCTCTTAAGGCGACGCTGGAAATTTTATATTGGAGATTTAATGTGTAAACCTTAGGCGCTGAGGTAGTATGTAATTCAATTTTGGAGCATTTGACTTCAAAACCCTTTGCCAAATCGGTCAAAAGATTCACTAGCCAGAACTCAGGGATCTCAAGCCATGGGTGCATGTCGTGTTTCAGAGGCACACGCATACAAAACCTAAGTGTGTGTGTGGCTGCTGTTAACCTCAAACCAAAGGTAAGTAAGAGTCAGTAGATTTCTGCCACTTCATCCAAACTGACAGACGCAAGACTGAGAGCTCCGAATATAATGACAAAAAGTTTTTGCAACGACCGTGAACGGTAGTGGGCAACAACAGCGGAAGAGGCATCGGTGATAGGTAACACCGGACAACTATCTACGCTTACCGAGGAAACAGGTGGCAAAAGGCAAGTGATGAGCGAGACAATCTCCTAGAAAAGTAGCACCCTAAGTGGCTCTCAGGATAGATGAATGGAACGTTGGCAACATTTTAAGGAACAATTTAACTGGTCTACAGCCACACTCAATTTGCCTGGTATCCGTAAAGCAGCACCCAACATCCGCCTAGGTGAATGGGATTTAGACACAGGTCCTCCATCTGTAACTGAGGCAATAAAGGCTGTATCTAATTTGAAACTAGACAAAGCAGCAGAACCTGATGGAATGACTCCAGAGATACTTAAGAGAGGTGGTGACAGATTACCGGCTGAGTTAACTAAGGTACTAGGTACTCTCTGGGAATCAGAGACGGTCGCACTTTGCTGGCTTAAATCGTTGATTGTCCTATCCTACAAGGCAGATAAGTCTTCCTGTCATGACCATAGAGGGATTAGCTTTGACTAATATGTTATCTACAGTTCTATACTCAATCATATGATAATGTTATGCGCAGATTAAGTAGCTCTGGAGAGAAAGACGAGAAAACCAGGCAGACTTCAGATCATCAAAAGGGTGTATCGATTATTGTTCCACCCTTAAACATTCTGGGATATAAGCACACTGGCATCCAAGAATTGACATATTTCTTGACCTGAAGGCGAAATTGAACTCTATCGATCGAGAAGTACTACGGCAATGTTTGGCCGTGAAGGGAGTTCCAAGAAAGTACAGCGCACCAATCGAGGCACTCTACTGGAGGAGCCGTATTAGAACTTATGGAGACATCTGAAGTAATGACAACCAGTGATGTCCATCAGGGATACACACTGTCCCCATTTCTGTTTAGTTTCATAATAGATGCACTAATGGAATAGATCCTAAATGACTTCAGTAACTGAAGCACTGACCTATTACCAAGGTATAATCTTGTTCATTTCGAATGTGTGAATGATATAGTCCTACTAGGCGAAGACGATGACAAAATGTAGTCTTCTAAACACTTTGAGGAGCAGTAATCTTCGAAAGTTTGGCATGCAGTTTGCGCCTATCAAATGTTAAGATGATGCTACGGAACTGAACTACATCAACTCCTAGCTTAAAACTAGGGAATGAAGTGTGGAGAGTGTTGACCGCTTCATTTATTTGGGAAGTTGTATCAGCCCCAGAGGGCTGATTACTGGTGAAGTCTCAGCACATATACTGAAGGCTTGTTTGGCATATGCCAAGTTGCGCCATCTCCGGCTATTGACCTGTGTACGGCTCAGCAGTTCGTCCCGTCCACCTTTATGACTTTGAGACTTGGCCATTGAAAGTGGAAGACATGAAAAGCTAGGCTAGCTGTATTTGGTCATGGGTGTCTGCATTCTATCTCCCGTGTTAAGGTGAGGTGGTGTAGTAGGGTGAGTAATATTGAGGTTAGGTATCGAGTGTTAAGTAAGGGGAGGAAGTCAATCAATTAGGTTGTGAATCTAAGTCTATTAAGGTTTCTAGGAAATGTTACGCATACCTAGACATCCATCGCCTTCCCCGACGAATAATCTTAGCTGACATAGGTATGATCAGGTTGGAAAAGAGCTAGTGGTGGTCAAACTAAAACTTAGAATCAGCCCATAAAATCTCTAACATTTAGTTTGAGTCATGTACGGAGGTGTAGACTACCTGGTTGTGGTCCTCAATGCCTGGAGACAGCTGATGATATGTATCGAAATCCTCCTCAATGGAGCATATGTATTCACTAACTGTGATCTTTCATATTCAATGAAACCTTCTCAGTCGGACAAAAATGGACAGAGAATGGTTAAACAATGGCTACAATGGGAAGGTTCTGTGCATATGGTAATAATGCTAAAATAATGGACGAAAAACCGCTATGGTTGGGCAAATAATAAGAAGAGCATTATGGTGGGCAAATCCTGGTTAAATAATCGTCACAATGGTAAAAATCTCGTAATGTAACCGAAATTCGCCCATTTACTTATAACGGGTCATTCCCATTATTTTTCCATTATTCACTTGTTTTTGTCCGGATGGGCTATTGTTTTTCTATGTTGTTATTCTTCCTCCCTCTCATTTCCCCTAATTATAGTTCTTATGAATCGCTTTTTCTCCAATCTTCCTTCACGTGCTGTGAAAACAAAGTTCATAGTGGCACACAGTGATTTGCACTGAGCTCACAACAATAGTGTCAATTATCATCACTCTTACACTTCCTATCACTTCACTTTGAATGACCAGTGGCGTAGTTTTAGCAATGATCATTATTTTGGGAAAATGTATCACCCCAACGAAAGCCCAAAATTTGTCAAGAACCTCATATAACCCCGAAAACGTCCTGAAGTTTTTTATTTGTGAAAGCGGGTAGACAGAGCCATGGTTGTTAAATCAGATACCTCCTAATGCACCGGAAAATATATGACCCACGCGAAATCCACCTCCTTGTATAGCTATTTAAACTTTAGATTGATTAAGACCAGATCATGTACGATTATGGGGTAATTTAAGTAGTTGGAGTGTCGATTATATGATAAAAACATACAAACCGCGCTTGATGAACTACTTATTAACGAAAACAAAACACGTAGATCAGCGAAGAGTCTCTTTTCGGCGAATTCATCTTCTTAGCTGTACAGTCGCAAATATATATGCATTGTTTTGTATGTATGTGTACATTAAGTTTGTCAAACAAAGTTACAATCGGTTAAGGTTAATTTTAACTAAACAAGTGAAGGTTGGTAATACAGGTCAAGAAAATTAAGTGTTAGTGAAACTAGGGTAGTAACAAAGGGGATGAGTTGTCACAAACAGTTGTAATAATAATAGTGAGTTTTACTCAGGATGCACATTGAAACAAAGTAGAAATTATGTAAGAGATCTAAGTGGATACAAGAATTACAATTGCTTAAGGTTATTTTAACTACACAGGTAAAGGTTGGTAATATAAGTCAAGACAATTAAGTGCTAGGATAGTAACAAAGGTGATGAGTTGTCACAAACAGTTGTTAAAAGAAGTTATGCAATAATAATATGAATATTTTGATGAGTGAGTTTTACTCAGGATGCACATAGAAACAAAGTAGATAATACGAAACTATGTAAGAGATCTAAGTGAATACAAGAATTATAAGCATCTAAGGAACAGGCAAAGAAACAAAATTAAGTTATCAAACTAAAATAAAATAAAACTCAAAAAAAATCAAAACACTGTTACCATGAGAGTAGAAGTGGTTGAGTAATCTTCTTTTGTATGCACAGCTCCGGTTTTTCCATGTGAATGTGTAATTTTCTTGACCTGTATTACCAACCTTCACTTGTTTAGTTAAAATTAACCTCAACCGATTGTAACTTTGTTTGACAAACTTAATGTACACATACATACAAAACAATGCATATATATTTGCGATTGTACAGCTAAGAAGATGAATTCGCCGAAAAGACTCTTCGCTGGTCTACGTGTTTTGTTTTCGTTAATGCCTGGATGGGGATTATCCATGAACTACTTATTATTTCGAGTGGTTGTAACATTAGGAAATCTGATATATATTGACAAAATTAACTTAAAATCTGAAACAAAAAAACTGACTATAGCATCTTTCGAGTGACATCTGGTTACAAACTCACCTTAAGTGCAACTGTTGTAATGTGTTACTGGTGCAATTTAACAAGGATACTGAATGCTGGTTCAATGTACAATATTTTAAAATATTTGTTGGGTTTCCTTATCTAACCGACTTGATTAAGACGGGAGATTGGTACGTCAGGATCTGAATGGTGAATTGTTAGCACCTCTGCGTCAGTCACTCCAGAAACGCCATCCATATTTTAATTCCGTCATTGCAGGGGTTTCGATTATTGCTAGAGATCTTATCACGATGTCCCATCAGTTAGGGGATCGCTGAAAATCACGAAGCACTTGATAGTTGTTTCATCCTAGTCTAGGACTCTTAGCAGTGAGTATCTATGACCTTATGACTGTCAACCTCAGGACTATCGGCGTTTCAGTCACTTGATTAGAAACCAATGGTTCGGACACAGTTTTTCAACAGAACCTCACTCTGAGCTTGCAAATGAGTTCGTGTTCCATACAGATCTCACCTTTTTAAAGTCCCTTCTGCCTCGTTGATGAAGGAAAATTATTTCGTTTTTAATAATGTTCCTGGTGTTTTTCTTCTGACTCTGTTGTGATTAGTGTCAGTTATTCACTATACACTGGGAAAAGATTCTTTGTAATTTTGAATGCTTTAGTAAATTGAAGGTCGTGTGAACCGAAACTTTCATGGACACTGTCCAGTAATTATACACTGATAGTAGATCAGATTCGCTGTCTCTCACACAGGTTTCCAAGCATAAGTTGATTTGGGTACTCTTATCAATAAGATTCAGAAAGGATGTCAGAAAGGACATCCACAAGAACCTGTCGTCGCATCAGTGTCCTACAGCTACTCTTCTGTTCATCAGACTACTTGATTATTCCTGTTTAGTGTGGGGCAGATATGTGTAGCCAGAACCCAGCGCAAGACACTGGCGAAGGAGTAAATTACGAAAGTAGGGGACTATTTGGCAGCTAGGTCGTTGGATTTCTGGTGCATTTTGTTAGAGAATATAACGCAAATGTTTAAAAGCACCTAATAGCTAAATTTTTTATATCAGGTACCTAATATGAAATTCCACATGGGTTCTCATCCTGCGAAATGTCATTTATGTTAAAGTCGGTCTGGAGTATATTCCTTAGGAATGTTTAGGAGATGACATGATGTAGGCGGTTACGCATGATAAGTGGTATATAAAGTCGACTTTCTATCCTATAGCTCCAGAAGCACTTGTTCTAATGGGACGATAGGCGAATCAAAACACCAGAGTGAGCATACGAAATACGAGATGTATTTCGGGATGAGAAATGTATTTCAATGAGGACTGCTCGGCTGACTGGGCATCTTGCACGAGCAAACGAATGTAGCAAGACGGCGTCTCGAAGGGCGAGAATATTTCACTGTGTACTTTGATCTCAACGAATCTACGTAGGCAGTGAAGGTAAGCACCCACTACTGAGTGTAGGACGCCGTAGGCCAATGGTTTTTGGGAATTATCTTCCGATACACGTGCAGTCAGTTCTCAGAATACGTCTGATTTTGTAACTAAGACGGAAGTTTCTTCATATGTCTGCAGGCGACAGTCATTTATTCAGTGAGGCGGGAAAACTTTCAGGGAGGTCACAGAGCAGGCTGATATAAAAGAGACAGCGAGGGCTGTGAAAATATTTTGGGGCAATGTGTTTCTGCTAATTAATAGCAAGTTGTTTCATTCAAAATGTTAGTTAGCGTCAGGCCATCCTTACAAAAGTTTCAGTGAAAGCTCACAGACAGATGCGAGTATATTGGGAAGTGATAGTCACAAATCGTTAAACACAGGTTCATAAAAAGTAGCCTTCAAACAGGAATCCTGTAGTCTAAAATATGATATAACGCATTATTTTATGACTCATTTGGTTAAAAGCCCATCACTGAACCTTGGCTTGGGGTATGCTCAGAGGAAATTCGGTTGAAATCTCCTGCAAACCACTTGAAATACAGGACTCACTGAGAATGTTGGAGACAGCACTACGTGGGGCCCTAGTGGAATGTCATCGAAACTAGATTATATTCTAACTAGTGACCAACTACTCGTCGAGAAGATTCAGATCATGACTCCACTGGGAAGTAGTGACCATGCAGTTATAGGATTCGATCCTGTTCTCCGTAAGCGCTTGCACGGGGACGTTGCGCGACCATGTCTGTGCTGTAGCAAGAAGGACTATGCTGAAGTGCGGAGGTGTTTGTCCGACGCAGAATGGCCCTTAGCATGGGATGAGTTATCTGTGGATGAACACTGAGAAGTGGTAAAAGAGATTGTTCACTCAGCAATCTCGGATACCATCCCTTTAGTCACAACACAGCCCAAAATAGGTCCTCATGGCTGAAAGGAATTAAGTAACGTATTCTGCAAGCAAAGCGGGAGGTTTCGTCTACATTGCAAATACCCAAGAGTCAGGCCGTCCACGACGCATAGATGTAACTCAGGAACTGTTGCAACGCAAGGGTCAGAAGAAACAGGAGGTCATTTTAAGCTAACTTTGTCAAAAACTCCTGGCGAACCCCAAAAGCTTGTCGGAGAGAAAACCAACCAACAAGAGGACATGTGCCTCAGTAGATCCAAGCGGTCAGTACCTCACTAGTCTGGAGATGGCTGAAACATTGAGCTTAGCCTCCACCAAACAGTTAAACAGCAATGTGGGTATTACCGGTACGGACCAAAATGGCGACACTAATATTTCGCCGGAGGAAAACCTAGCGGCCACTCCCCAAATAAACCCGGCAATAGTACTAGGGAAGCTACAGAGACTCACATCTGGAAAGTCCCCAGGTTATGATGGCATCAGGCCATCTGTTCTGAAAGAATGCGCCGAAGCTCTCTGTAAGCCTTTATGCGACTTGTTCCAACACTCGATGCATTCGGGGAAACTGCCAAGGGAGTGGAAAAGAGCCAAAAGTAGTGGTGGGTCTCCGAAATAAACCGTATGATGAAATGACAAAGAAATTAGGTCTCTTCACACTTAGCTGCCGTCGGCCTAGGGGGACTTCATTACACACGACTAGAATCACCCAAACAAAGGTGTTCTGCCACTAAGTTTCCCCGAGGAAATCCCAGAAGGACAGCTCACCAGAGTGCAAGGACCCACTTCTTTTCACTGCGGGTTTGTCATCCCGGTAGATGTATCTATGGCACCGTCTGTGGACGCTTTTAAGCGAAGTCTGAACAATCATGCGGCGACACAAGGACTGCGTCCAAATGGCCTATCCCCTTAAAATCCCATACACCATTCATGGGTTGACAACTAAATTCGTCGTTTTACTTCTTTACATTCTCTCCCGTCTTACCTTCCTGACTGCTTCAACTACTATACTTACACTTATTATTATTAATACTAATATCATATATATATATTTCAACTTCGAATTTAATTAGCTGTCTGTTTTTACGTTTTCTTCGTTTATTTTTCTGTCTTATAGTTTGAACAGCCTACACTATTTATATCTATTATTATGATCATCTCTTTTCTTTTGGCGAGGATACTGGAGGACTAACTGGTGATAGGATCAACTCCATTCACAGTAGTAACAGTCTTAACACACCTCATACTGTAAACAACATGTAATTAATCCCAGCATCAATCCTTCTGGAGTCAACCGAAGCTGCGGCAGATGAGTGGCGAGACGAACTAAGCAGAATTTTACCGAAGACCAGGAACCTTTACCTTACAGTCAAGAAGCGAGCACAAAGAAATCAAATTGGTTTATATATGCTAATAAAAACGATATTGGATATTGAATCATATATTTGCAAAGTTATTTGCATTCATTTCAATATTTCGGATATTCAAAACATTGTTCGTTATCCGTTCGCATTAAGCGTTGATACCATAATTGCATAAAAACGCGAGATGAGCACACCTGTGAAAACGGTTATTATAATTATAACATTTGGTGAAATAGTTTCAATCCAGAAAAGATTTTGGAAAAGGTGATATAAAGAATTCAAGCTCATTCATTGAGTCACTAATTATCCAATTTTTCTCACAGACTAAAGATAAAATGACAGCAACCATGTTATTTAATCGTAAATCATGTAATTTAAATATGTCACTTAAATAATACTTATCCGTGCCTATACAACTTGTGTGTCCTACATTTGTAGGAATAAATATGTACCTTATTATATTATCATTACTTACTATACTTACTAATCGTATGTGTAATTTGTCCAATTGATGATGCCTGTAAACTGGCGTCCCTCATGTACAAAAATGAGAATATACTATTGTTATTATTAGACATATTGGATACTAGAGTTATCTAGACACTTATCTTGTTGGATCTGAGCCTTAGCTGCACTGCCTGCTAATTCCCCAGCCTGGTACCCCGAGGTGGTGGCCACGTTGCTCTTATAACTGCCTCAGGTAGAGAAACCAGAATATAACTCTGCTGCTCAGAGGTTAATTTATTAACGATGATATGAAGAGAGTACAGAGGTACGCGTTCACACAACCACGCAGCATATGCCTTGTTGTCTCTTGAGAATACGCTTGTTAACCTTATGTTTCACTCCACATGGCTAAGTAAGATGATCGGGTGAAACGGCCAAGATCTAACTGACTGGACGAAGTTTTCTGGTCCTCATCCCCAGCAAGACTCTATTTTTCCATTTCGATGTTCAACCTGTCATAATACCGTGAGCATCTAAGAATAATGGCACACCATTGTGGTGTCAGTTGGACGCTCATTTCTTATTATATGGATATTGCAGCAGATAAACCCCATCAAGCTTTGCAGTATTGTGCTAATAATTGTTAGAATGGTTGGTGATCCCCGAAATATTATAACTGCTGGTTACAGTGTTACGTTGTTGGGACTAGGACTAGTGGGCACAATTTAGAGCCACAAGTCCCACCATCTCTGCAGCCTTCGGATGTCTTCTTGAATGGTAGAGGCAGTAGTGTCGGACTGGTTCAGCTGAAAGATCGTTATTATTAACTTAAAACGCAAACATGGAAAAATATGGACACCATGATGTGCACCACACAACAGTAATGAAGTGACGATATATAAAGAAAATATGGGGAATATGGATGGACGACATCACCCAGAAAGTAGACAAGCATATTTATCAGGATCATTCAACACTCATTACTTTGCTGAACTTTCAGAAACGGACGAAGAAAGTCGCAGTGTGCTTGTCATTGATTACGATTCCGGACCATGTCTGTTGACGTTTCGAGCCACTGA